TTTAAAAAAAAAAAAAAAAAAAAAAAAACAGTTGTTAAAACGTTCTTTTCAGTAGAAAACTTTAATAATAAGGTTTAAAAACATGTGTGCTGTTTTTTTAGGTGCTACATTTTATTATTATAGACAATATCAAGCGAGATAAATATGTTATTATTGTAATTGTCACGGAGATTGTTCATTATTTCAACCTTAAAGGCTAGTAACTCTGTAAATTGTTTTCATTTTTTCTCTCTCTCTAATCTTTCATTCAAAAGAGCACTTCTTGCAGGCCAGCTACAAAGGAAGTGCAGAATCCAGTGTTTCGACATGTAAACAAAACTGAAATGGAAAAGTTGAAACAATTTGACGACTTTCTAGATGATGAGAGAGAAGGTTTCAGTTCAAATAGCAGAGAATGGGTGAAATTGGATGAGAGCATTAAAAATGTAAATGGGGAGTAATAGTGTAATTTATTTTGTTAGTATTTGGCCTTATTGTATGGCATCTTTCCGTCTGTGGGAGACGATAGACGATAGATTATCTTTATTGCTTGTAGCTCTGGGTGTGGCTGGTGAGACCAATCCTCGAATTGCAGTCTCTGTTACATTTCCCACACATGAATGCGGTGGAGCAGTATTTACCGGCCTTCCTCCTCGCTCTTTTTGCAGCTGTTTCCGCCCTGTTTTGCTCCTCGGCATGTAGTGATCCTGCCTTCACGATGCCCCACCATGAGGATTGATCCTCTGCCAGCTCCTCCCAGTTTGAGATGTCCATGTTGGCTGACTTCATGTATCTTTTGCATATGTCTAAGTATCTCAGACGAGGCCGTCCAACTGACTTTTTCCCTGTCGCCAGCTCGCTGTATAGCACGTCCTTTGGTATGCGACCAGGTTGCATTCGCTTGACGTGTCCAAGCTAGCGGAGGTGTCTTTGGATTAACATGGCTGGGACGCTATACATTTTTGTTTGGGACAGGACATCCGTGTTGGGGACTTTGTCTTGCCATTTAATGTCAAGGATGTGGCGCAGGCATCTGAGGTGGTAGCCATTGAGCCTTCTTTCGTGGTTAGAGTATGTGGTCCACGACTCGCATCCATACAAAAGTGTGCTCAGTACGCAGGCCTGGTACACCTGTAGTTTAGTTCTTGTTGTGAGTTTGGCGTTTGACCAGACTCTTTTCTTCAGTCTGGCCATAACAGTTGCGGCCTTCCCTATCCTTCCACTTATCTCATTCTCCATTGAGAGGATGCTCGATATGTTGGATCCCAGATATGTGAATCTGTCAACAGTATCCAAGTCGTAGTCGTCGATGGCGATAGTGGGGAGGGAGTCAACGCCCTGTGCCTTAATGTTAGTTTTCTTTAGGCTAATTGTCAGGCCAAACTCTTTGCAGGCAGCGGAAAGGCTAGATACGAGGCTCTGCAGGCCGTCAGCTGTGTGAGATACCAAAGCGGCATCGTCCGCAAACAAGAACTCCCTCAGCAAGACCTTTCTTGTTTTAGTCTTAGCTCTAAGGCGGGCAATGTTGAATAATTTGCCATCAGCTCTACTGTGGATGTATATCCCCTTGCTGTTGTTCTTAAAGGCCTACTGGAGTAGGATGGAGAAAAAGATTGCAAATTTGGCCTTATTATTATTAGGCTTATTCTTGTCTTGTTCACCGAGTCAGGAGTTCCAACAAAAAACAAGGCCACTCCAGGAATTTAAATTATTTATTATAATAACAGTGTTATTAACGCCATCTCAGTTTGGAACTCCTGCTGGAAATCACTAGAGTAGATTTTCAGTACAACTATAGGTGTTGGGCCTGACATATGTCATATAGTTATAGGCCTAATTGATTCAAATAATGCAGGGTCTGAAATGCCACTTAGCTAGGTTTTTTTAATATTTAATTTAATTTATTATTTCTTTTAAAAAAGACTCCTCTTTCCACAAGTTAAAAATTTATGTCATGTTGCATAACTTTACACAGGTCAAGACAAGCGTGTAAAATAGTATTAAGTAGAAAAGTGTTTTTAACCAATTAATTAAAACATGATTTTACTTATCTGCTAGTTGACACTCAGTACTTTCATATTTCTCACTTGAAACTTCCCTTGACTAGTTTGACTTTCTAAGAAATTCCTTACACTTTTTTTGGCATATTCATATGGACCTCAAATGTAAACTGGACGTACAGCCTCAGTACAGCTACTCTGTATTAAACAATTGGTGAAAACATTTTAAAATTAAAATTCCTTTTAATCTAACTTACCCTCTCTTGACCTTTAAACAGCTCTGCTCACCACAGATTATTGATTACAGAACCTAATTGTTATACTGGTGCATGTTCCAGGGAGATAATGAATGTATATAACTATAACACTAAGATGGTTTTGTTTTTTTCCATGTGTTATTTTTTAACAATGAGCAAAAAGGTCTTTTCTGCATACTATGTAAAAGTTATATCAGCTACCACAAAAGTTAAAATTTGTTTATAATATTATAAATTTGTTGGTTTTTTTCATGTTTTATACCTTATTTTATTAGGCCTACCAGTTCACAATGTATATAAAATATTTTTTTCTCAGCTTAGGTTTTTGTTACTTTTTTATTATTAATAAAAATAAATGCGCCTACTACTTAGGCAAATTGTTTTGTTTAATTGAAGTATTGTTACTACTCAATTAGTTTCAATTAAAGTTAGAATACAGTTGTATTTTAATTGATTTACAGCTATGCATTTATGGTCCGCTATTTCTGTCAGCAGGCAATGCAAATCTTCAGGGATGTTACATTGTTATCAATAGATTTTAATTTAAGATGTACACTTCTGCCTTACTTAAAGCTGTTTACGCCTTGCTCAACTGAATTTGCAAGGAATCAGTTACATTTTGAACCGTTATACATATATATAATTATCCCATATTGCCAACAATCTTGTTAAGTTTTTTATTTTATTATTATTGCAAGGCAAACAAGAAACAACAGCTAATAGCTGAGATATGTGAACAACTGTGAACAATAAGAAATAACATTTCTTATAATAAATTAATGCTATACAATATTTTCCTTGTCTGTTTCACAGGAAGGGTTTCGAATTGGTAAAGAAAAGAATCAAGAGGAGTTTTTACAAAAAGGGTTTAACGCTGGTTTCAAAGATGGTATAACTCTGTCAATAGCTGGTGGGAAACTGCAGGGCAGACTATGGTAAATTAAATATTAGTCGTAGTAATTTGAAAAATAAAAAAATCAAGGGCATTTTTCCATAGTTATAATTCCACCTGAGTTCTAGGATAGTTATTTAAAAGGATCAAGTGATTTATTATAACCAGCTGTCCTGGCAAAGGGAGATCTCCAATGTGCCGCTTTTCGCAGCCAGATACTCAGGCGGGGGGGGGGGGGGGGGGGGTGTTGTGTTTGCTTGGGGGAGGGCGTAAAGAGCTTGGTACTAGTTCAACGGCCCGCTGATGCCATTTCCTAATGTAAATTTCAATTAACCAGCTGGTTCTTTCTAACAAATTGTAACAAATAATAGTTCGGTAGCATAAATATAATATAGAATAAGGAACCCACATACAATTTAAGTGTCAATTTGCAATAATATTCGTCTATTTTTTCCAACCAGAACAAGTAAACGCCATTATAAGCACTATTTGGAAAGGGATGGAGGGGAAGCATGATAAAGATAGTTCACAACCTGGTGCTTTATAGCCAGTTTGTTACATTTTTTATTCTTCTTTCAAATATAGTATTTTTCTTCTTCTTTCCGCTTCTACTTCTACCGGGGCAGTATTATAGTAAGTACAGTTGATTATCAGCGTCAAGGTGTGAGGCTTTATGGAGATTTTGTGGACTTTTTTTTAACACACTCGATCCACCACCAACTTTTCCACTGGTCCTGAAACCGTAGCGCCTGCTATTGCAGACCTGTTTACTCTTACGATTTTGGCTTATAATGTATTATTTTGAGGTGTTCTTTATGATTGTACCGACAAGACTAACACGATTTTAAGAACACAGGTCGAAAATGTATACCTGTACATTCATGTAGTTTTTCAGATTAAAAAACCTTATCTAAAAAGTACATTTTCATTGTTAGTTTTAACCTGCTCTCGACATAGTCGCCTTAGTGAAAATTTTAGTAATATCTAGGTTTTGTTTTCATGTTGCTGTATGACATAATTTTGTGACACAATTATTTCATTCAGCGAACAGCGGGAAGTACGATTTTTAACACTCATCTTCCTTTCACCCATTTACAGTTTGTGGTAGTTATCAGACTATAATATATTAGTGGGGATAGACGTAAGGGATATTGATTCTTCTTTTTGTGTTAAAACCTGCTTTTCCTTAAAAATAAATCTCAAGTTACTTTTTTTAAATGATAATGTCATCATGCGTTAATTAATTCTTATTTAAATACATTTTGTTTTATGCTGATCTGACTTTGAGTTTCAACAACATTAATTTTCACCCGTAACTTTATATTTACCAGTAACAGACTGTGAAAATGTTATCAGTACGTTCACCTAAAAATTAATTGATATATATAGCAAATACATGCCTGCAAAAGAGAGTGACTGCAGATAGCAATATAAACGTCAGTTATGTACTTGTAACTTTTTTTTACACCAGTTTAACTCGATTCCACTAGGCACTGAATGCGAATAGTTATTGTATTCGTTATATGTACTGTATGTTATTTGTTATTAAATACTGTTTATGTGATTTCGAGATGATATTGTACGATTTTAGGAGTTTGAGGGTAAACAGGTCTGCTTTTGTAGATTTGCAATGCAGGTTGGTTGACTTGCAATTGCAATGCAGGTTGGTTTACGGGCCTTGTGACCAGGTAGCCAAACCAATTAATTTGCTGTTATGCTATATACTGCCTCATTGGGATAGCACAAACCACTTGTTTTATTTCCTGGTTCTGAATGTGGTCCTTTTTCATTTATCATCTGCTTGCCTTAAACATCACATCCCACAAATTAAAGTATACATTTTTAAAATTTCTACTTGTTTTCTTTTGCTAATTTTTTTTACAGTGCTTACCTCACCCTGCTTTCAGAACATGATATATCATCTAAAGCTCAAGGAGGGACAGAACAGCATGTTTCAATTTCTGAAAAGAGTTCATCCACATCCCTAGCAGAGAAATTACTTTCATCTACCACAGGTCTTATAGCCCAGATCCCAAACATTTTATCTAATGATAGAAGTCAAGACATTCCTCATCCTACAGAAGGTATCAGCTGTTTACATGAAGATACCAGTACTCAAAAGTGTTGTTCTGTACAGAACACAAACTCTTCCTCTGTGGATGAAATGAAATTAGGATGCTCAGCTTTGGACCCTGTTCACACAACAAATAAAGACACTAAAGAAAATCTGTCATGTCAAGATGTTTGTCTTAGTAAAGCTAATTTCTGGAGTCAGTTGGAAAACTTTAGACTTCAAGCAACAGCTGCTGGTGTCCTTCTGAATGAATGATGCGTATTTAATGTTACCTTGTAACGCTAACATTCATTAAAAGAGTGTCAGTTTGACAATATTTGTTTTTGTTTTTATTTATTTTTTTATATTGTCCATCTTTTATTACACTTCTTATTTAGGGCTTGTCTCTGTAGTTAGTTATCTCACCCAAAAACTAATGTTAAAAACCTAAACTTATTATGCACTGATTCAGTATTTATATAGTTTTTCTAGCATATGTAGTGGGAAGCAAGTATTTACAAAGTTGCTTCTGTTTTCATTACACATCACTATCGTGACAATTTTGCTATGTTGGCAAACCAAAGCTATGTACTGGCTCATTGGGATGGCACAAACCACTTACCTAGAAAAAAATGTTCAACTATTAAAACTATTCCCTGGCCGTTTGTCTGGATATCTAACATATCATAACAGCAGCTTATCTGAAATTATTAGTTAGCTGCCATAATAGTCTCCACATGCCTGAAGTGTAAACCTTTATTTATAGTGTGGTTACTATTTATAAGTATAAGTGCAAGGTAAAATATTAAGGAAATTTAAAAACAATACGCTGATGCTTAGGGTGACAAAAAATATAGGGGAAGTGACTAAAATTGCAATTTTTAAATTTCTATTTTATATAGGCAACAATATGGTACCGTAACAAAAACTATTTATTGTTAATAAAAATAGTCATCCATTCCCATATATGTATATATATGTATATAATATAACATGTACAAAGAATTTCTAAAAATAATTGTTTAATTATTAATACAGATGCAATATATTTAAAGAGATTTTCTTTTCTTCAACACATTGTCATTAGGCTATCAACATTGAATTTCAACTACATATGTCCACATAGATAATAAAATGTCTTCTTGTAAATAACAATATTAATACCGGAAATGTCTGTCATAAATAAAATTAATATTAAGTTTTACGTGACCTTATTAAAATATGAATATTGATATTCAAACAAAAGAAAATTTCCTTACCATAATGCCATAAATATATGGCACAGATAATGTATAGATTAAAACTCAGCATAATAGTTAAGACTTTTATTTATCAGACTAGTTACGTTATCTTAATTATCACAGATTTCTTACAAGGTGCTTTTAAAACAAACAATCACTATGAATATACTTCCTTAATTCTTGAAAATTACTTGGAATGTATGTTGTGGTTTGGAAAGAGAATAAGGAAAATATATTGTAAAGATTTTGAAAAATAAAATTTGAAAACTGGCAGCTCTTGGAAAAACCTTTGGTTTAAAAAAAAAAAAAAAAAGACGTTGATTGGTTTCACTGCCCTACAATTTATGGGAAACACTGTTCAAATTTGTTTTTCTTCTTCGCAATGCCAATCATTGGAAAAAGTTTTAATGTTATTTATTATTTTTAAAGAAACTTTACTTATGATGCAATTTCAATTTCACCATCAGAATAAGGACTAGTGAACAATTATTTAAAAATATGGCACATTTATGAAATCAACATTAAATTACCGGTACATAAAACAAATGACAGGATTAAGTCGGCATTTATTTTTATGTGGGAACAATTTAAAGGAAAAATAGTCATGTCTTGCAATAGTGGTTTTTATATAAAAATTTCAAATGACAAAACTTTAAATTTGAAGATTTGTTTAAAGAAATAACGACACAAGAAAAACTATGTAATGCCATTTTGTGTTTAGAAATATAAAAAAAAAGCTAAAGCTATATCAAATATTTCATAACCATGGCATTTTGTGTTTTGCAATATAAAAAAAACCCAAATCAAATATTTCATAACCAAGGCATTTTGTGTTTTGCAGTGCCGGGTACCGGTATAAATAACAAATCTGTAATTATACCAATAGGTTTCTCTATAAAATTATAACTTAAGTGGCTAGTTCAATTAAACATTAAATTTTCATTCATAACATTTTTGATTGTATAGTTCATAAAATGATCAACTAAAATGTTAAAAATGTTTTTTTTTAAACAATTTGTATATTATTTTAAATATCTAGTTAACTCAACCTCTCAAAAACACAAGATATTTAAACGAATACAGTTAATAGTGCTTTGAGTGGTAGAAGAAATTATTTAAAAACTTAACTTTCCATTTTCAGGATGTGAAACTATTTTTTTTAAGGGGTGAATACAATATGTAATTTACTCTATAATTTCCAGATGTGCGTAGAAACATATTTTGATTAGTACTGTGTGCATACTGTACATAGAAACATGATTCCCACAAGGGAAAGATAATTTTTAAATAATGCAACTTTTGTTAAAAAAAACATCTTTGTGGCCCTTGAAAAATGCACAACCTTACATAACATAGCTCTGGGGAAGCAGCCACTGTACCTCTCACTAACTGGCTATGCCATTGACTTTTGTATGTACATCCAAATGCAACCATGGTAATAGAGATTTAAACAGTGAATGCTATGGGTATCCTGTCTGGATCATATGAAGGCACATGACAATCTATATTTAGACACTGCTTGAGGTACAAATTGTCTAAAATGATGCAAGCATAGTTTACAGAAAATTAATTGTTTATAATTTTGCCCTATTATAAAATGATTAGATAACATGTGGACATTTCATCAGGTGAACATTTCATCAGGTGAACATTTCATCAGGTGAACATTTCATCAATTCATTTGCCTTTCATTCACATCTTCAAAAATAATTTGATAAAAGAAGAGGTAAATCCATGTTGCCTGTAAATTTCTGATGTACCTGGTAAAACATCCAAAGGGTAACACTGGTAACTCACTCAGTCAACATTTCCCATTAAATTCAATTCTGTTTCATTCTTTGGTGGTTCAACATATATCTCCAGACTACGTCCTTCTCCGATTGTACCATAACACTTGTTGATATAGCATCTATTAAATAAGAGTAAAAAATAAAACACGCAACACAACAATAAAGTTTCAGCCAATAAAATATAACAGAACCACATATTGGAGACATTTTCCATGAGATAACCAATAATGAGAGGGTTAATCATCATGCCAATTGAACTCCCAATAAGAATGAAAGAAGAAACCCAGCCTGTCACCTTAAGTAACTCTGCCTCCGTCCATGAAAAACCAGCAGCAAAAACAGCTGACAATGATAAACCTGCCATGCAGGAAAATGTTGTTAGCAGACCAATGTGGCCAAAAGTAGCAGAGATTGTAAAGCCGGCAAAAGCCACTATCATAAATAAAGTGTAAATGAAGACAACCTTCATGGCAGTGATGTATTTTGATACAAAAATGCTAAGAAATCTTCCCACAGCAAATGAGCCCCAGTAAAAAGTTGTGATGTACGCACCTTCTGATTTTGAGACAGAATCATATTCTGTGACAACAAAAGTCATGAGAAATGAAGCAAACGTATCCTCCACGCAACAGTACACCAAATAGAAGAAACACAGGACAAGTATGAGGAAAACATACAAGGGACGAGGGAGCTTCCTGTCATGGACACTTTGTGTATGCGTATCACTGGAAGACTTTGATTTCTTCTCACAAAAAATCGTGACTACATAATGTAGGGATATTAGTATACTAATTACGCCACCTATAAGAAAAGCATAATGAACATTTGTCGTTCGGGGTAGCAAGACTGTTGTATTGTTATTGGATGTGTTCGAAGTTAAATTGGAGGTAATATTCAGAGTAAGCTCTGAACTTGTCATGTTAAATTCAAAAATCTGTGCTTCTGTGTTGCTATTCTTGATTTCTTTTGGAGCTAGGAAAGGTTCAGTAAAAAGTGGTGTTAAAACTCCTCCAAAGGCAAAGGTGAAGTGAATGAGTTGAAGCAAAGAACGACCTTCACTCCCCCAAATATGCATATGTTCAGCATTCACCACTGAAATGAAATTAACATAATTTTAAATTAAAAAGGCGATAGGAGTAAATTTGCATATTTGAACAGAATTTTGTTTGTGTATACACCGGCACAGCACAGAAAGGAGTTTGATAAATCAGGCAATAAAAATTCATGCTAATAGTAAATAAAATCAGTTTTGGGGTTTTTTCTAATACCTGTATAGCTGAATTCAGGTATAAAAAACAAAATAAGAAAATTAATAGCTTAAAAATCAAGAAAATTTTAATTAAAGCTCTTTGATAACAATATTTGTAGGTTAATGTGCGAATTAAAACCCATATTATCTGTCTGTCACGTGACATAATCCCATTAAATCACATTATATAGCAGCCTGGAAGCAATGTTTTTTAGTTTAACTAAGTACATATTTAGTGTTTTTTAAATCAATGCGGTATTCACTAAATTGAACTGGCTTCTTTAAACAATACACCAAAGCCATGTTTACTTTTTGAAAGTTAGTTGAGAAGTCTTTGTGTCTTTAGAAAACCAATATTCATGCTTTATAATTTTGCTTTTACACAAAACCTATTATAAAAGATTTAAAACACACTACAAGTTTTTAAATGAAACCAAAGGGTGCACATCATTTTTTGTGTGCATTTATTGAAAGTATGAATTTAGCAAGAATTAATATTAAATTGGCAGACACCATAGTTTTGTCAATTTTAATCAGTCACAGCTTATTATAATAAAAATTGGCACAGAGCATAGGCACACGTCTTACAGAATTAAATCCAAACGTAAGTCATGGATTATTATGTTTGTTATTAAAAATAAGCAACACTCACGTGTATCAATCCCTCCGCAGAACATGTTGGTAGTAAATCTGATTATGATCATGAGGTAATAGGGTGAGCAGTGAGGGGTGATAATAGATGCAGCACCAGCTCCTGCATTTACGATGGTCATCAGCACATTGTTGTTGATCTGAATAGAAATTTTAACTATGATTGCAGGAGGACTAGATATAATACGGTATCAAATGTAACAAAGTTCTTTTAAAAATGCAAAATCTAATTTTATGTTTACTGTCATTATAATTATCATTTCCTTCTTGTCAGCAACTACATAAAAGCTGTAAACATTTATTATAGTTTACACCAGTTATGGTCTGGGATTATTCCCAAATCATTCGGTATGTGCAACACTCATGGCTATAAAGCAAATGATTAAAGCCAAAGAGGATGAGGTGAAACAGTTACAAATAAAACAATGTGAATAATTTATTTTAAAAATTTGGACAGGAGATGTTTTTTTTCAGATTGATGATAAGGGGCCATCCATAAATGATGTCCGGGGAGGAGGGGGTCCACATTTATGTGACGGGGAGGGGGATAAGCAATGTGACATTACATTAAAAGTGGAACATTATTGAAAACAATTGCACTTAATAGCACTAAATTACTGACATTTTTCATATTCTTCTATATATTAAGGGCCCACGATAAATATATTGATTATTTTGACTCCTATGCATGTAGAGGGGATTTGCAGTATTTGTGGCTACTTTGTGAAGGTCTGAGGCAATAGACGCAAATGTGTCAAGCGTTGTCGCCTCAACTTCTTCTATATCTTAAGGGCCCACGATTAATGTAATGATCATTTTGGCTCCTATGCATGTAGATGGGATTTGCAATGTTTCTGTTACTGGTGTTGATGAGGAAATCATGCACTAGGGGTTTGAACGCTGGAGGCAATAGACACAAATGTGTCTAGTGTTGTCGCCTCAACCGTTCCTTTTGAAAGATTGTTCCAGTCCCTGATTGTCTTGGGCAGGAATGAGCAGCTCCTATACTGGCTTCTCGCTGGTATGAGCCGGAACTTCCTGTCATGGCCTCGTCGCTGTCTATGGGGGAGAGGGGCGAGTTTCTGTTTATTCTATTATACAACAATTAAAACAATTTTGTTTTAAAACTACAATCACTGAGAGAATCAGTGCAGCTATGCAAGGTCTGAAAAATGGCCTCTCGTTAAGTTACTGGATGCCATGGAGGAGCAAAATCGGGGTGTAGTGACATTGACAGTTGCAAGAATTTATGTCGAAATGTGACGATGGAAGTCATATAATAAGGCTACTAATTGAAGAGGAATAGAACAAAAAAATGGTTGGTGATTGGGGGGAGTGATCCTAGTAAATTTTCTATGGCAAGGATTCTTAAACAATTATTGCTGCACAGTATCCCTTATCAATTTCAAAACATTTTCCGAAAAACACTTAGAGCATAATTATAATGCGATAAAATTGTTTAAATGAAAATAATTAGATGATTTAGTTATTGTAGTTTTACTTTTCTAATTAACTTTCTACTAGAAATTCTAGAAAAAATAAAAAAATACTGTCGCAAGAAGTAATGGGAAAACTAAATTCACCAGAAAACATGTAATGCTGTAAATCTTTTCTTTCTATTTTAATAGGCACCAACAATTAGCAATGGCAGTAAATACCTACAATTTTTTGGGACTTCTGCACCTCAGGGGTGCTTTCACCCCTGGTTAAGAACAACTGTTCTAGGGAAATGTTTCTGACACGGATGCCATAATTTGATATCTATGGGAGGTGAAAAATGTGACTCTTCTCCTCCACCTCAAATGCATGCCATCGCCCCTATTGCATTTTAAGAAATTGTAAATTATTTTCAACTTTTTAGTGCGTTTTAACTCGTCTTTGATTAAAAAGTCTTTTTAAAAGTTTTTTTTACAATTTTTAAACAGGCATCATACCTATTCATTGGGTATTTGAGTGGGCTTTAGTTTATGAAACCTTATGGGGTATTTGAGTGGGCTTTATTTTATGAAACCTTATGGGGTATTTTAGTGGGCTTTAGTTTATGAAACCTTATGGGGTATTTGAGTGGGCTTTATTTTATGAAACCATATGGGGTATTTGAGTGGGCTTTATTTTATGAAACCATATGGGGTATTTGAGTAGGCTTTATTTTATGAAACCTTTTGGGGTATTTGAGTGGGCTTTAGTTTATGAAACCATTGCATTACCAGTAATGAACTGGCTCGGAACTTGAAATTTTTTGATGAATGGAAAAAAAAAAAAAAACTTCTGTAATTTAAAGAATACAAAATCCAAAGAGAACAATGATACTGCACTATGTTAACTTGGTGTGGACAAAACAAACCTTTTGGGGTATTTGAGTGGGCTTTAGTTTATGAAACCATTGCATTACCAGTAATGAACTGGCTCGGAACTTGAAATTTTTTGATGAATGGAAAAAAAAAAAAAAACAACTTCTGTAATTTAAAGAATACAAAATCCAAAGAGCACACTGATACTGCACTATGTTACCTTGGTGTGGACAAAACCACTGATGAAAGAGCCAACCATGTATCCACATGATGCTGAGGTGAAGAAGGCTGATGCTGTTTCAACATCTGTGTTGGTAATGATTTGTAGATCAAGAAAGGCTGGACCTTGCTGCCCAAAAACAACACCCTATAAACAAAAAAATTTTCATCAGAACAAAGGATTTATTTGACATTTTCACTCATGTAAAAAATCAATTTTTTGAAACTTTATTGATGATAAAATTCTAAAGAAATTTTACCAATTATATAACCCAAGCCCAAACGTTTAACATTTCCACTGTCAACAAATTCAAAATAATAAAACTATACTATAACTATAACAAAAGCTTTATAATTTTAGTGTCTTTATTAAGCGTGTGTGTGGTCATTTTTAAATAATAAAACAATTACTTTATTAATTTAATAAATACCAAGGTTAAACTGGATAGGGCAAGCCTTAAAGACTGTATGACCCTTCCCCTATATGCTTTGTCGGATTTCAACTTTTCTAGGACGCTTGGAGGTTTCACTTTGTTGTGGTGCACATTATTTGTATTAGCCGTGGGTGCCAGGCCTGGGTCACCTTGTCCATCCATTTTAATTGCGTTGTCTGGCAAGGGTGGATTACTACTTTAGGTTTCTCAGCATTGACATAGAACACATCCAGACAGCAGGCTAGAAGAGTAATGTGGGCCAAAAAATTCAAACCATACCTTTGTTTAACATTGGTAACGTTACTTAAAACGTAAAAAATAACCAAGATTAGAAAAAATAAGATAGCGGTGATTAGCAAATCAGATTCAACTTTCATTTCAGTTTCAGCACTGTCTGATCGCCATAGCCTATATTCTATATGATCCCGATGAACATGTGCTGATCATGCGCATCGTGGTGATTCATTTATCAATGCAAATAAAATTTTAATCATATTAATTTACTATGTCCATGTTAGTAGGCAGTAGGCGTGGCATTGTAATAAGCAAAATAGTTCCTACTTGTTCTACTTCTCCCATAGCCCATTCAAAAGTCATAAGCCACGCCCACATGTGTGAATTAAAATATACCGGTAATAAATTTAAATGTTAAGGCTAGGCCTATTCTATAGATTGATATTTTTAATATAGTCGATTTAGCCCAGTGGCATGGCAAGCCTCAATCTTACTTCGGTAGTTAGACTTATTAATTATTAAAGAAGGAGCATCTATAATAATTATGTAAAATTGCATGGGGAAAATGAGTCTGTTTTTTCACAAATTGTAAGCTCCATCAAATAATTTAATAAATATTGTAAAATAAATACCGCTAGTAAACGAATGTTACGGCACGGGAAATAATTCTAAAATATAAAAAAAAAAAAAAATAGCTCATGAATATGGGGAAGCTGTGTAACGAGTGTGACTATGAAATTAAATTAAAATTATAACACATTACAAATTGTTGGATGGCTAAGCAGAAACTGAAAGCTAATATACATACATTTTTTTCCAGAAATAATACTATGCATGAGCATACAATTAAAATTGAGTTTGAATAATATCCGTACTTATGATAACCGTACACCGTACGTTCAAAGCTACTGCTAGCTAAGTAGGGCTTGGCCTAATTGTTCAGTTTTATTTTATTATGCCAAAATATTATACTCCATTTGCTTGTGCTAAAAAAAAAATGTTAATAGCATCTGAAGGAAATTCTATGATTAATGCTCAGTTCACACGATAAATTTTCTTCAAATTTTTTTTGAACGCATTATTTAGTAAATCAAAATAGTGATATTATTGGAGCGTTCCAGAAGAAATTTAATGTACATTTCATCATGTGAACTGAGCATTAATGAAAACTAAGCACTTTCAGCTCGTACTCTTTGTAAATTGTGAGCACATTTTTTTGAAAGAAAGGAAACCTTATACCGGTAACCCGTAATTTTGACGTGGCAACTGGCAAGAGATCTTTAATTTAATTAGGGGATAGTTTCAGAGCAGAAAGGGAGTGGTCATTGTATTTTTAGGTCACGATCATCACATACTTTTTTCAGTTTTCTTATGACATCGTCTAAACTATACATAGAATAGATATGACAATATTTATTTCACATATATGATTACTAAAATCTACCCTAAACTTGTTAACTTCAGATTGTAATCGGATAATAAATTAGTTTAATTTATGATACTGATCTATAACCTATATTTATAACCAAAGGGAAACGATTACCGAAATATTACCCAAATTATTTATTTCCCTTGCAGGTACAACTAAAACGGTATGTTATTCTAATTACGGGACTCGTCCACCTGGAACTTTGACTACCGGTACCAGTAATTTAAAAGAGGTAAAACTCTGATTACAAATCTTTGCTTCCTGATGGCTAAACAAATCATGTGTAAAGCTATTTAAGAAACTCCAAAAATGATGGAGTTCCGTGGGTGATAGATATATTGAACCATAAGGCTTATGAAGATTCTGTCAATTCCTGGAGGGCAAGTCTGGTGCCAGCAGCTAAGCGACTCAGTCGGGGATTTGAGCCGTGGTGCTGTGGGCTGGTGAACTGACCGCTAGCAGCAGCAGCCGCTATTGCTGGCGGTGTCGGATCATCGGGCCTGAAGTGGGTCCCTACTCATGTGGAGTTGGGAAGACCCCAGGTAGACGAGGCCCGCCCGGTAGCCCCAGCGGGATTCCACGCCTCCGTAGGTTGCGGTTAACGGGACGGCCGACGTCCGGGGTCGCCACCTCGGGCAGCGGTTACTCGCTTCAATAACGTCGGGCCCGGTGTGGCCAGACCGAATACGCGCGGGCGGACAGAACGGGGTCGAGGGTGGGGGGCCTCCCCCACCCTTCGAAAGCAATAATTATGGATATGATGATTTCCGCAGTGCCATGTTGCAAGAAGGGACAAGGTGGTCTAGGCACTGTCGGAGTGACGAAGTCACCGGAGTGGGGCACGATACGGCTTGCCGTACCCTGCATAGATGGTGAGCAGTGGTGGGAAGAGGTTTCGTCTTCGGCAAAGGTTGTGGCAATCGTTCATGGGCTAAAGTCTAGATCCTGCGGGATCCTGGCGCGGGGGGGGGGGGGGGTGACCGCGGGCGTCTCGGGGTCGTTGCCCTCTGTTCCTGGCCGGTGGGGTGGGGCCTGGGCCGTGTCCCGGTGTTCCGTGCCCTGTTGTGCTGGCTTGTCCTGCGCTCAGGACACTAGCGCCCGGTCGCTAACGGAGAGAGTCGAAGTTCCACGGAAGGTAAAAGGCTGGTTGTGGCGCATGCCCCGCTGTTTCCGACAATTTTTATTGCGGCAGCTTCATACTTGGATAGAAACTGTTCGGTGTCTTGGGATTGCCCGACGGCGGGAAGATCTTGCTCGTAATAGTCTTCTGCCCAGCCTGGTCGGTTTCACAACCGGGCCAATTTGAACACACGGCCCCCAAATGCGTGGGGGGTTCCGTAAGCCAGGCTATCCGCGTCCACTGCTTATCAGTGGGGGGGGGGGTCCTTGATCCTGGTTTTGACTTTAACGGTTACGAATACGTCGGACCGGGGTCCTGGACGCTGTTCTTCGTGAGCGGCCGGTCAAGAGCGTCCTGCTCAGTAACGCTTCAGCAGATATTTATCTCAATTCCTGAGACCCCCTGTGGTGCCAATCTGTCGTATCCGGAAATTGTGATCGAAAGAAATTTCATCGAAGGTAAATTGATAGTCGGTAATTTGATAGAACGGAAATTTTGTTGAATCTATTTTTCAGTTTTTACGTTAAAATTTTGCTTTAAATTTCTTTATGAACGCATTAATTTGTGTTACTATATAGTATAGTGCATTCAAAAAGAAATTTGACGAAGATTTTAACGTGTGAACTGAAAAAAAGATTCGACCAAATTTACCTTCGATCAAATTTCTTTTGATTAAATTTCCGGTAACCCCAATCTGTATCGTCTGTTTGATCTTCCCTTGGTAATTTTACCAGCTGCATGGAGAGGGAAGATCAGATGAAAACAGATGATTCTCTATTTAACACTAAAACCTCTCAGGATTTATTGTTTGGTGGAGGAAAGCTTGCAAGAAATTAAATGAAGAAATCTGAAGTAGTGTGAAAGGAGGCAAAGTCAATGAGATCTATTAGTTGGCTCCCCAAGATCAATAAACCCCCCAACAGCTGTAACTGTAAGGGAGAAATGAAGACAGACAAGGAAATGAGCTCAACATTGACTCCACATTTTATAAGTTTTTCATTACTTCCATCTTTGAATGACAACATAAAACATTATGTGGCATATTTTCTCTTTGTATTTGTTATCCTCCTTATTTTAATCCAGCTGTATATTTTGAGGCCACAATTGCAAAAGACAAAAGAGGCGGACAAGCTAAAATGGAACCTGTATTAAAATATAACCATTTGATGGTTAAAAACCTATTGCTCTTAATTCTTTTCTAAAAACTGGTTGAAACTGAGGATAATCTGAAGTCATAATCATCGGAAACCGGGCCACCACAGCTGGAAATTAATCTACTAGATTAACTTAAAATAATAGGTTGACAATTAGGTCTTCATTTCTGCAAGGCACACTCCAATGAGTTGTTCTTTAATTCTTTACTGTAAAATTTTTTTTAAAAATCTACTTGACAGCTAAACCAATGATTGTAAAACATCATCAATGTGATATCTTAAAGCAACCTTTCAAATCACTATGGTCTGCATGGCATTAATACAATCTGATACTTGGGTGACATGTTTGCAAAAGTATAAAACCACTTTCCTCCTTTTAACTTCTTTTGGGCTATAATTTTAACTTCTCATGATAGGGATATTGGTCCCATAGGGACCATCATCGCCTGTCGTCCCGTCTGGGGCATAGGCCACAAACAAAGGCTCTCCAGGCATCCCGGTCTTGGGCAAGTCTCTCCAACTGTCCCCAGTTGTCCCCACTCTTTTTGATGTCTGCCTCCAGTTCCCTTCTCCAAGTTGTTTTGGGTCGACCTCTTTTTCTCTTACCCTGGGGGTTCCAAGTCAGGGCTTGTCTCGTGATACTTGATGCGGGCTTTCTGAGAGTGTGGCCAATCCATCTCCATCTGCGCTGGCAGATTAACTCTTCCACTGGTTCTTGTTGTGTGCGCCGCCAGAGATCCTCGTTGGTGATGACGGTGGGCCAGCGGATTCGTAAAATCGTTCGGAGACATGAGTTGATAAAGGTCTGTAGCTTTTTTGAACCAGCTGCTGTTGTTCGCCATGTTTCTGCCCCATATAGCAAGACAGGTTTCACTGTGGTGTTGAATACCTTGACCTTGGTCTGGAGGGTCAAATTGCTGCAGCTCCAGACCTTTTTT